TATGAAACCTGAAAAATACATTTGTTGTGATTTTTAGAACAGAACACTAACTCTTCACATTTGCTGCTGTTGAGAGCTTGTCTTTTCTGCTCCTGCCATACCATTTTACTAGGGATATATGGAACTAATGCAGTAGGACCACTTGTTTTTTTGGCTGCTCTTCTACCGAGTTTCAGATTTTAATAACTCAGACTTGCCCTATAAAAGCTTAAATATCCACGTTTTTTAAAATATAAATATGCAAAGTCATTAGCAGTGATTCCTTCTTACCCTAGCAATACTCCAACCCTTTAATAAAAATTTTAGAAGTTTGCAGATATGACTATAAATAAAAGATAACCTGAAAAATGCTTCTGAGACCAGTAAATCAAAACAGTTCAATTGCTGGAGATAAAGGAAACAAACCATCATTTGGGTAAATGGGAACTGGGTAATGACTACAGGGAAGTGATGGGGAAGCAGAGCTATTATTAAAATACATGTTAATGTGATTGTTTTTCTGAAAGAAAAAGCAAGGGATTTTGCTAACTGGCCATGGAAAATTGCCTATTTTAAGATTCCTTCACTAGTGTGTATCTGGCTGGGATATGTTGTTGTGAAATGACATCCAAAAGACACTGATAGCCCAGACTTTCCATGAAATCACATCATCGTGTGTCTGTTTTATAAGATTTGTTTCCAGTGCTTACAAATGTCCATTTCTACTGCAGGTAGGTTCAGTGCCTGGGAACAGAAGGAGGAGGTGGTGTCTGTGCTCCTGAACTGATGTCGGTCTCATTCTGTCCCCAAAGTCCCTACAGCATTGGTTCATCCACATGAATGAACTAATCAGGGTATATTTTATTTGAAATGTTATAGCTGGAAGGAAAAAAAAAAGAAAAAGAAAAAGGGGGGGAGTGAGAAGAGGAAGGAAGGAAGGAAGGAAGGAAGGAGGGAAGGAGGAGAAAAAAAGAAAGAAAGAAAGAAAGAAAGAAAGAAAGAAAGAAAGAGAAAGAAAGAAAGAAAGAAAGAAAGAGAAAGAAAGAAAGAAAGAAAGAAAGAGAAAGAAAGAAAGAAAGAAAGAAAGAGAAAGAAAGAAAGAAAGAAAGAAAGAGAAAGAAAGAAAGAAAGAAAGAAAGAGAAAGAAAGAAAGAAAGAAAGAAAGAGAAAGAAAGAAAGAAAGAAAGAAAGAGAAAGAAAGAAAGAAAGAAAGAAAGAGAAAGAAAGAAAGAAAGAAAGAAAGAGAAAGAAAGAAAGAAAGAAAGAAAGAGAAAGAAAGAAAGAAAGAAAGAAAGAGAAAGAAAGAAAGAAAGAAAGAAAGAGAAAGAAAGAAAGAAAGAAAGAAAGAGAAAGAAAGAAAGAAAGAAAGAAAGAGAAAGAAAGAAAGAAAGAAAGAAAGAGAAAGAAAGAAAGAAAGAAAGAAAGAGAAAGAAAGAAAGAAAGAAAGAAAGAGAAAGAAAGAAAGAAAGAAAGAAAGAGAAAGAAAGAAAGAAAGAAAGAAAGAGAAAGAAAGAAAGAAAGAAAGAAAGAAATCTGCATTGTAAAGATTAATTTTCACAGCTTGTTGCTCAACAGGACTGTTTTGTTTGTGTCTTCAGGATGTTGACCTGAAAACATGCCAGGAAGCTTTGGATGACTGCTGTCCCCACCAGGAGGATGGTCAGCTGGAACTGCACGTGGAGGAGGAGAAGGAAGACGTTAATCAAGTACAAAATGAAAAAAATGAAAGAATGGAAAACTGTGAAGAAGTGAGGGAGGATATAGGTCTTATCACTGAGATAAAAAATAGCAAAAGAAATTGAGTGAATGGTTTTGAAAGGAATATTTAATTTCCTCTTTTCATTTGAACTGTCCCATGCAAGGGCAAGAAAGGAACAGTGACTTCAGATGGTGCTTTGTGAATTATGCCCTTGTACACCATCTCGAAAATTGCATTCCCTCCCTTCCAGTATAGTTTATGTAGTTGAGGTGTTCTAAAGTCTACTGAAATCACTTGCAAGTAAACATTTTTCAATTTGCTTTTATTTTCTCCATCATGAAGGTTTGTGGACAGGGATTTTTTTTGGCATACAAACACTTGACACATGAAGGTTAAATACTGCTTGCACCGTTTCTTGTAAAGTTTGATGCTCAGATGCAGAATTACATTTAGAAACTGGATTGTTTGCATCTAAACATGTCTAGTGTTACTAGGAGGCAGAGAAATAATCTTAATGATGTTAAACCAAAATGGGAGCACACTGTTTTGTACTCTCTGAGCGCTACAATGGAAAGAGCATTCACTCTTTTTGAGAACTTGAGACGAGAACATCAGATCCAGTTTTCTTGCCAGCCCCTCTGTTCACCACTGCCCTGGCAGCCAGGCTTTGAAAAAATATTTGATTTTCCCACAATGGTGAGTAGGTGTGTAGTCTCAGAGAGGGTGAAAGCCCAGTTCTGCTGTTGTGGGTGTGCTGTTGTAGGATTTCCTTGCCACGCAGTCATCCTGCTAATTCTAGCAACATGATATCTCTTGATCAGGATGAAGACTCAATGGCAGGATCAGCAGCAGTAGTTCACAGAGCTCTGCTGTTTCCTCCAGGACTTTTTAACCTCCTGTTGTGTAAAACAGTTGTGCCATACAGGGTGTTTCTGTTTCTTCTGTCACAGAGCAAGCACCACCACGTAGATTCCCTTCTCTCCTTAGAGGGCTATTTACAGCTTCTGTCATCGGAGATGGAAAACATGTTAGAGGTAAATGGGAAAGCACATGTATTGCTAATAGATGGGGACACAGTCGGTCATTATTTGATAGTGACTTACTTTGTTTGGTCCAATTAAAAAAACAACCAAGCAGCGAATGTATCAGCCTATCAATGCAGTAACTTACCTGAAGATGCTAGTATCCACCTTTTACAGCAGCTGTAATTGGCTTCAGTAATTGCCCAGTAATTTGTCTGGGATTTGACAACTGCAAAGTCCTGTCTTCTCTGTTACCTGATGTTCAAAGTTGGATGGAGCCACTGGACAACCTAATTAGTTCAACTAGTAATTCCCTTTCTGAAACCTAACACCAATTTGTATTTATACATCAGCTTTTGGTGTGTTTTTCTAGAGCAACACTGAGTTATTAAGCACTAGCAGCTATTAAAAGCATTTGCAGCCAAACTGTTGGAGTTGCCATAAATACTGGGTCAGGTGCTTACAAAGATACTGCCTTCAAGAACAGACCCATCTTTACTACAGATCAAGTCAGTCAGCATTAATAGTAAAGCCACTTTGTTTTCCTCTGAGCTTCTCATACTCTTGCTTACTTTCTGGGTGCCTGTTTTCACAAAAAAAAAAAAAAAAAGGAAAAGGAAAAAAAAAAAAAGTTGTCTTAATTGGAGTCTCCCTCCTTTCCCACAGCTCATAGCTGCAATCATTAACCATGAAGCTATTCCCTACATTCCTTTTTCACAGTACACCTGACATACATTTCCCATTGCAGGAGCCTTATAAGGTCCTTAGTATTTTCCATATCACTTCATGTTTATCTCTGCAACACCTAGTTTTGGGAACATCTAGGTTGGATAGTGCCTCCCACCCCATAAATTAGTCACCTCCTCAGTTCCACTTTGGTAATAGATTCCACACTAACAAGGTTCAGAATTTCATCAGTTTAGTTTTCTCTGTTCTCTCCATAGTTGGAAAGGAATTTCTATAGCCTTTATGTGTCTTGTAACAACACACAGTTGCATATTTTATTCTGTGATTTAAGACCATTAATGCACTGCCATCTTGTGACAAGACATCTGTTGAAAATGGATTGCTTGTTTTTTCTAGGTACCAGGTCTTTACAGTGTGGGGGATTTTGTAATAGTTAACTTGCTAAGAATGTTTCTTTTCAAGGGCTTAATTGAAAATACCACCTCTATCTCTCAGACTACTGATGGTCTAGTACAAGGTAATTCCTTAGGAGAAATAAGGCAAGACTTTGTTCTGTTTCCTGAGCTCCCATAGCATAGTAGAGAATTGAAAACATCCTGGTCTTTATGGTATGTTGTTCCTTCTCTGTGAAAATTGCTTTTTACATTGTTTGTTCAGTGGACTGCAATCAGAAAAGTCCTTTCCTGCATGACACTGGAGGTGCTCTGGTATGGAAGAATTATATCATAGGCTTCCTACTTCATGTATTTAAATTCTCAAGTTTTTTGTGTTCGTGTATTTTATGACTATTTGTCAGCAAGTGCCCTGGCATAATCTTGAGCAGTGGATTTGTACTTCTTGGACAACTATAACCCAGGCCCATAAAAAGTGGGCCTTAATTTTCTAACAGTTTAGCACCTTGAACCAGCTCACCCTGGAATCAAATAACGACCAAAACCACTACCAGGGGAGGGGGCAAGACCTCCCCTCCTAGAGGGACCTTTTCTTAGACCAGATGAGCACATAGGCTGTAGTTTGATGTACGCTTAGCAACAGTCCTGTTTCCACCTCTGAACACTCATCAGTCTCACGCTGTCCTTCACAAGTCCTCCTCCTCCCATCCCCTCAGTCACTTCTGCACCCTTCCCACTTCCTCTTGCTATATGTAAATTATGCTGTGTACAAATGGGAAACAGTATTCAGGACATAAGACAACTTTAACATATAACATTTTGACTTTAATAGATTCATACAGTGGAATATGAAAAAAAATTATTGATAAAGGCTGCATAGATGAGGAATGTAGAGGCATTAATTTTATAAAATATCCCATTTTCCCCCCCATCTTTTAGGCGAGTTTACTGGAAGATACACAGGTTGCTACTGATAATGGAGAAGAGCTGTCATCCTCACACCACCATATAAGTTTGTTGCAGACCCTTTGCCACTCTTTCAGTCCTCATGATGCCATGCTACCAAGAACAGAATACCACACTCAATCAAATTCAGAAACAAGGCATTTGCAAAGGCAAGAGTCTCTTCCTCAGCCAAGCTCTAGTATTACAAAACCTGAATTGCTATTTCGTGGGTCAAATTTGACAGGGCTGTTTTCAGCTGGTGACATTAGAAACCTAATGGCCCATGATGATAATTTTGATGAAATTAAACTCGTGTCTTTGGCCTTGGATGAAGGATTTGATCCTATAGAAGTTTCTCAGCTGTTTGAAGAACCTGGCTCAGATTTGGAGCTGTCTTTGAATTCAAGTCACAGCACTGCCTCTTACTCAGTCTGGAGTGAAGGTGCCGTTGGGTACAACAGGAATCTTAAACCTGTTTCTTTGCATGACTTAGGAGCTGGTGGTGGCCATAGCCAAGAATCCAGTGAATACAGCCATGTGGAATATCCAGGTGATTCAGAGTGTTCTAGAGAAGCCACATTTCAGCAGTTTCTTCATAACCACACTTCCTATCAGCTGGCAAGTCAAGCAGCATCCACTACAGAGTATCACCACCAGGTGTGGATGGAGAAACCAAATGAAGTAAAGGGTAGGTGCTGTAATTCTACTGATATAAACTTTAGCAGCAATGAACACTGTGCAAAAGCTCTGAGAATACCCTTTTCAGTAGATGAAATTGTGAGCATGCCTGTCGACTCCTTCAACACCATGCTAGCCAAGAATCGTCTGACAGGTCCTCAGGTCTCACTCCTACGTGACATCAGACGAAGAGGGAAGAACAAAGTTGCTGCCCAAAATTGTCGTAAACGTAAGCTGAATGTGATTCTTAACTTAGAAGAAGATGTATGTAATCTTCAAAGACAAAAGGAGAGCCTTAAAAAGGAACACTCTCAGTGTAGCAGATCAATCAGCCAGATGAAGCAAAAGTTAAACAGCTTGCACCGTGACATTTTCAGTAGATTGAGGGATGACCAAGGTAGACCTGTTAACCCATGCAAATATGTCATTCATTGCAGTAATGATGGTGGTGTATTCATAATACCCAAACACTTGGCCAAATCAGAACAGAAACAAGGTAACAAAAAAGAGCAGAAAAAAAATTAAGTTCACTGGAGACCACCCAAGTTTTATTTTTCCTGGAAGAATGGTAAGGCAATTTGTGTGAAGACCAGTCAATAAATACAGAAAAGACTATTTGAGGAGGAAGGCTGCATGTTCAAGGATCTGGCAAACCCAGATGACTGTGATGTTAGGAATTCTATCAGCTTATGCTTATGAATAAGGCAATCTGTTCAGCTTTAATTGGAATTAAAGGAGCTAGGCCATCCGTATAAGCACAGTTGTATAGTCCTACATAAAACTAGAAATTTAGTTTCTGGTGCTGGGTAGAACATCCATGGGGGAAAAAAAAGAAAGTTTTAGATCCAAGTTACATGTGGAACAACATGTTTTAGTCTTGACTGTTTTTGATTCTTCACACACAAAATGACATTTCCTTTTTTAGCACTGAAATGAGGCTACACTCCAGTAGTGGCTTTGAATGAGAGAATGGCTTTTGGTTTGGTATTTATTTGATATGAAAAAGATGAGATTTTATTCACTCACATGCTTTATTCACAACAGCTTATCCTTTTCTATTTCACAACCTGAAAAGGTTCTGAAAAAAAGATGGCCCAAAAGGCATATAATTAATGGTAAGGAAAAAATGTTAAGAGACATACTAGTTTCTAAGATATTAAAATAATTATCAATATTAGCAACCAGACAACAAATACTCTTTGTATCCTTTATAAACAAACTCCGTAAAACTGGTATTTAAAAAAAATACCTCTTTGGTCATGGCATGATGACTTCATGGCCAGGTATGTTTAAAAAAGCACATGCACAGAACACATAACTACATACAGACATGTGAGTTTTAATGCCCTGTTGTACCTTTTGAAGAAACAAACTATGCCATCAATATGTAAATCACATTGCTTGGAGGTATGTTTACAGTAACTGAGCAATTTTCTCTGCATTTTATATTAAAAGATTTATTTCAAGAAATATGTGCATCTGCTCATTTATTTATCGGTTTCACCACAGCCTCAAATTGATAGGGTAAATTCATAGCAGAAAGTTTCTTGGTTGAGGCCCAAAATTTCTTGTTCAACATCAGTGTAAAGTGTTATGTCAACTGAATACGTGAAATATGTTCACAAAGAATCTATTTACTTGGTAGTTCATGAACTTCGACCAGACATGCATCAGGTATAGTTACATACAATAAATTGTGAATTCAATTTCTAGTGCCAGGAAAAAAGAAAAATTAGTCCATGTTTCATTGTAGTCTTAAATAAATGGCATATTTATTTACATAGCCTTTGCAGGACCAGGGCTTTAAGTCTACTTCATAGCCCATGTGCAAAAGTTGTGATAGCTAATAAATTAGACCCATGACTAGCAAAACCTGAAACCCAGGTATTTGTTTTAGGGACTCGTAGTAGAAGTTTTTATGGTCTGTAAGAGAACAAGTGCTGGGAGGCCAGAGGGGGAAAGCGGCATCCTCTGGCTGCTTCCTATGAAATGAAGATGTAAGCCCTGAACCCACCTAGTTCTGTTATCTCTAAATTTGCAAGCGGAAAGTAGCATTAACTGTTCTCACCTTATTGTTCAACAACCGTTATTTCTTTTCTTAAATAAATTTATGCAGATAAATTAATGTATGAAAGTCAACTAGGAACTATACCTACAAAATCTCTCAGGGAAATGACTAATTTTGGGCAGACTCTTGAGTTATAAGTGCCGATGACACAGAGCATTAGGTCTGGATGTAGTACATAATTTTCTCAAGCCTTTAGCTACCTATCCACAGAAAATAGTTTTGTAGGCAGAAATCAGAATGTTAATAATTTTTTCCATTTTAGTAGGCTGGCATGAAGTTTTTTAGGTAAAACTCTTAATACAAACAAAACCCCACCAACCTAAACAGTTTTGTCTTGGCTACACCTTAGTTTGTTAGACTAGACCGATAAGGAAGGAGGTGGTTTTATAACCTCTCTTCCCAAAGCAAAGGGTTCCTGAAGCTACTTGAAATATGCTTCATATAATGGCCTTGGAGTGTATTTGTCAACCTACACACAAAAAGGAGACACCATACAGGACTTGAGGAGCTACTCACGAAAACAGCATTGTTATGGAAAACATGTAGCTGAAATGGTTGTGAAACCCCCAACTGAAGTGAATCTTGGCTTTCATAGTGGTAAATAGTAACTCAGAGACCACAATCCTAAGTGTATAAACCAGGAACTATGCTGGGTAAAAAAACGTGATGCAGCACTAATTTTGGAGCCAGTTGTCTAGTGAAAAATCTGCTAAGGCTGCATTGTAGCTTAGTTAATACTAACACAGAGAAAAGCATCTCTCTGAAGTAGAAACAATTAACACTTTTTAGACTTGTTATACTGCTAAAAAATCACGATGTTGAGGACCACAGCTGTAGGCTTGATATAAGAAAAAAAAACAAAAAAACAAAAAAACCATGGGAGTCCTCACTAAAATACCATTCCCATGAAATTATTAAGTAGTCTGTAACATTTGAGTGGCAAAGGGCCATTTTTGTTACTTAATGGAAAGAGGTTATCCAGAAGAGGTTAGAAAAGGTCAGACTGATTAGATAAAAAACACTGGGTGGTGGGGTTATCATAAAACAGAGACGACCTTCCCCATGGCTGCTGGTAGCAACACACATGGGCACTACAGACCCACATTAGCTGCTGCTACTCAGAGATCCATACCTTTCCTGAAGTAGCATCCATTAAAAACAAACACACATTTAGCACTTACTTAGAATGCAATACCCTCTAAGGCTGAACATTCACATCCAAGCACAGTGCAAATAAGCCCTCACAGAAGAGACATGGCATACTGGTGGAACAGTGCACACTGAATGACCACCCACAGCACTGCACTGAAGTGCAGCTTTCGCTTCATGTTCTGGTTTTATTCAACTGACTTTGCCTTTTACAGAAGCTAGATTT